TTTTTTAAATTTTGGATTCAAAAAACATATAAACATAAGAAATTATATTAAATTATATATAAACCTATAAAAATCTGTTAGGGAAATTATTTGAAATTTACTAATAAAAAAAAAAAAAATAAAAAAAATATTAAATAAAAAAATATTTGACTCTGATATTCTATCTTCAAGTCTTAAGTGAAAAGAAATATCTAAAGTACCTCAAATAGGAATCTAAATTTGATAACAACAAATTAAGATGCTCGTTAAGCTAATCTATGAGTATCTATCAAATATCTTCAGTCTTTGTCCGTTATTTATTAACTGTCTACCAAATTTAGCTTAAACTTCTGGACAGTATTTTAATTAAGCCGAGTTAATTATGTTGTATATATCAATTAAGAGTATTTAATCTATGACAAGCCAAATGCTAATATTTACGTAATGATATTTATTCAATTTGTCAGTTAATTAAAGCAAATGAGCTTTGAAATTAAGAACTAATTGTCCAATTCATATGGCAGGATACTCACATATGGTGCCCGCCTGTGCGTGGGCCTCGAATACAATTATTGAGGATAGCTCGCGCTTGATGCTAGTCGATAGATGAGAGAGGGCAGCTATATGGACAAGCTCCTCAAATACCAATTCCAGTTCCTCGGGTGTGCGTTCGTGTGAGCTGCATAGAAATGTCGAATGGGTATATAATATATACTCTATATATATCTATACATTATATATGCTTGCGTGTGTGTGTGTAAATTGATTAAAACCAAATAAGAGCCATTGTGGCTTGTGTCTTGAATTCGGCAATGGAGTCGAGCCAAAGGCAAATGCAATTGCAAATATCAATCATACGCACTGTGTGTGCAGCACAACATTTGCATAAGCTTATATCGGATTGTGTGTGTGTGTGTGTGTGTTTGTCTCTGTGTACGTGTGTGTGTGTGTGTTTACTGTAGGTAGACAAATATTTTGGCATTCTGGCTTTAAAGCTGCTGCATTTCATTCGCATACTTTCGAACAGCTCGGCATTGAATCAATTTATATTGCACTTACGGCTTGCGCAATATCATGCGCAACGTTGCATCGGGACCACGTTGGAAGAGTGCACTCAGTGCCTCACGTATGTGCTCATTAGCCGCATTGAGATCCTCAGCAGATGGTGTGCCGGCTGCCGCAGCGCCGCCTTCCTCGTCCAAGCGAAATCGATACAGAAAGCATTTATCCTTGAACGGCTGCTCCTTGTTAACTGTGGGTATCGGGACAATGAGTTAACCAATTGTAAATGCGTTAATTGTGTCATTAAGCTGCAAGCTGAAAGCCAAAGCTTTCTCTCACTCTTCCCTCTCTCCTCTCTCTCTTTCACACTCACCATGTGTCAGTACGCCTTCTTCGAGCAGGGCCTGCCACATGCCCGCCGCCTGGGCGCGTGTGTGAACAATCGGTGCCAAGTTGACCAGCCAATCGACGAGCTCTGTGCCGGGCGCACACTTGCGTATTAACTTGCCCGAGACCTGCCGGCAATTGATTGCGTAATAAAAATCTGACTTTTATCAAGCTAATTGCCTGCCATCACTCTTACCTTACGATCCTTCAGACAGCTTGAGTTATCGACCACCAATAATGTGCGCAGCGCCCAGCCCATGCGGTTCATAGCAGGACTCGGCGTCTGAAAATGAGACAAAATTCATGATAATTCGTTTACAATTTCCACGAAAAATATCTCTGTCATATATGTATGTAGATTTAAATAGAATATATTCCTGGTAAACTCACTTCTATAAATACATTTCGGAATTACAAAAAAAAACTTGAAAGAAGGAATTTATAAAAAAAAAACTGTTTCAATTTGTTTATCTATATTTTCCTATATCCTCTATTGCCTTCTCTGCTTTCTCTTTCTGCCGTTTCCATTCTCTCGTTAGCTCTCTCCATTCCAATGTTCTCTGTTCGCTCCTCTAGCATCTCGATTTCTCGCCCTCTCCCATTCCCTGTTCTTCTCTATCTATTTCAGTCTCTGTCTCTCTCGGTCACTGTCTTTGTCTTTACCATCTGTCTCTCTCTATCTCTGCCTCATAATCGCTCTTTCCCACTAACTCTCTCTATCACTCTCTCTCACTTTTACGTTCACTTTTACTCTTCTTCTCTTATTTTATCAGTCTCTTTAGGTCGCACTTTCTGTCTCTCTCTCTCTCTCTCTCTCTCTCTCTTCGTTGCCTTCATCCTTCCATGTCCTTTTCTCAGCTCTAATTAATGATTCAATTAGTCAGCGTGCCAGGCTGTCTAAACTGATTTTTCAAGAAGTTCAAGTGGCATAGGCTCAATGTCAACTAAGGTCCTGATCCACATATATACACATACATATTTAGGTAGCTGTGTGCGCATGTGTGTGCGTGTGTCTGCCTGACTGATTAATTGCAATTACACACGCACACACACAGAGACAATTCATAGTCTGCCGGCTTACCTCGGTTATGGGCAACGCTGGATTGGGATGATCCGGACTGAGTGGGCGTTTAGTGGGCGAAGTGGCACCTGCTGGTTGTACGCCAGGACCAAAACCTATTTATAGAACAATAGAACAATATGCAAGTCAATTAATTGGCTCATCTGCGGCTATTTCATTTATAATATTCATTTTATTTTCGGTTGGTCAATAAAATATTTATTTCTGTTTCTTAATTAAAAATAATTATTCCTAATTAAAATATTCTATAAATGGGGGTACATTCAAGGGCTATAAAATATGGCTGAGGAACGTCTAGAATAGACGTCATTACTACTTAAAGAAATTTCAATAGATTATGGTTCAAAACGGGGTATCTTTTAGTCGATCATTTTTTAGTTTCAAAACATAATTATTTGTAATGACCATTTTTTTTTTTTTTTATGAAATAAAGCATATTATAATATAAAATACTTTGATTTTATTTTATAAATCTTGACTGCCTAAAGGGTATGTCAAAGTCGATCATATTTTATAATTGTAAATGATAAAGAATCACACTTATTCTCTCAAATCTTGACTGGCTAAAGGGTATGTCCAAGTCAAGTCCAAGTCCAAGTCGTAAGATATAAGACTCTGTGTATCTATATATGCTAGTACTAGGTAACTTCAAGTCGATCATAATCTGAAACCTAAGCAAGCCTTAATTAATTATAATTATTTCTAACTAAACTTGATTTTCAATCAACAATTTTAAACTCTTGGATAAGATGCCTTTAAACAATTTTGCAGGGTAACTGCGAGTCTATCATTAATTTGTGAGCATATATTTCATATGATTATTTTCCACTTACCGTTCTTTATTTTGCAATTGGTAATAATGTCATTCATCAACTCCTTGTTTTTCTGCAATAACAAAAAGTGAATCAGTTAGCTTTGGATTGTTGCGTGTTGTTGTTGTTGTTGATTAATTGTGTTTATAGATAAAGGAATATGTGATGATTGTTGTTGTTGTTGTTATCTTTTGATTGTGCATTGCGGATTGTGAGCTACTTTTCAGGCAATCACAGCTATGACGCGTACATTGCTCATTTCGAATGCCGTTGTTAGTGGACGCGTCTGACGCTGCTGCTGTCGACGTCGCAGCTTGATAGCTGCGGAAGTGGCGCCAGTTGCCGTTGATGTTGCCGTTGTTGTTGTTGTTGTTGTCGCTGCTGCTGTTGTTGTCATAGATATTTCCGTTGCTCTGCCAATTGTTGCTGCTTTTGCTTTTGCTTTAGCTTTTCCTTTAGCTATCGCTGCTGGTGGCGCTGCCGCTGCTGCTGCTGCTGCTGCTGCTGCTGCTGCTGACGCCACTCTCTCACTATCACTGTGGCGTCTGTAGCTGAGCAGCATGCAGAGCGTCGCCTCATCGCTGGCCACAACTTGGCCAGAACGACGCTGGAACTGGCGCTGTTCGCGCTGCTGCTGTCGCAGTTGGCTCGCTGACATTTGGCCCCCTCGCTCGCCTCACGTGGCTTCACTTTCACTTTGCACTTCAAGTGGTTTGCTTTTTGCACATTCTTTTCACTCAGTTTTTATGATGATTTTGTTTTGTTTGATTTGGCGTTATTTTTATTTTTATTTTGCTTTTTCCTTTTTTCTTTGCGCTCTCCTCTGGAGCAGGTAATTTCTGTCAAACGTTGTCGCGCGCACTGATAAGCCAGCTGGGTGGCAGTTGAGGCGCGTTTTGCTCACTGCATGCCTCATTGTTTTTGTTATTGTTTTTATTTCGCCTTATCAGCTACAGCTTGACAGGGTTGCCAGAGCAATCGAACGAAACGCAGCTATAAATAGTTCCCTGGCAATTTGTCGTCGTGACATTCGCATGAATAAACATTCAAAAGGCTGCACAGAGCAAGGGCAAGGGCAAGGGCACAAGCAGGGGCAGAGGTAGGGGCAGCAGTGCGAGGCTCGCATGCCAAGTCAGTTGCTTTGTGCTTCACTCATTATAAATATATATATACTGGGTATAATGGATTTGCTGCAGATATATGTAACAGTCAGAGGATGAGGCCATAAATTTTATATTATTATTTCATATATTTATATTCTTGTTCAAGACGTTGAGCTGACTCAGTCATCTGTTTGCACGATTCCCAGAGATAAGGATATCTGAAGATTTAAATTTATAAATTTTACGGCATATTCAATTTGCTGTTCGTAGAACCCATTATGATTTTTTTTTTTAATATTTAGAGAGAAGGATAAATATAGAAATATAAATATTTCTTTTACTGTTAGCTTTTTTATAACTATAGCTCAAATACTTTAACTAAGAACAACAAAAGTTTAAATGTAGATTCTCCTTATATATTTTGCTTAATGGATTCGTCATATTGAAGTTTTTGCTACGGTATAAAATACCATTCCTATAGTACGTATAATACATGACCTTGAAATTTTTTTTTTGGCAACTCTCGAAAACTGTAAGGCCAGAACTTGTGTTGTGCACTCTAGAGATAAAAAATAGTGTAAAATTCAGCTATACAAGTCTCAAAGTTTAGGGTATCTGCTAGTCGAGTTATTGCCAGCCCAGAAGACATTGACTCGCATTTTTGCCGATGACGCTTTCACAACACTTGACGCTCAGCTGATAACGGCGTTGACTTTGGCGTTGGCGTCAACGTTGGCGTTGGCGTTGGCGCTGGCGTCTACGCTAATTAAAACTCATTTTCACTTATCGAAACGCAGAGTGAGACCAATGAGTGAGTGCGAGAATTGTCGTTAGATATGATGAACTCAACGGGAAGCACTTGGCAGCGCCTTAGCGCATTCGCCTTGGCCACAATGGCAGGCGAAGGCCTTGCAAACAATGGCAGCTCTGATAATAATGGCCATAAAGTTGGCTGGCACTAAGTAGGTCTATTCAGTGTGTCCAGACTGCAGGGGAAGAGTTGAACTGGCTAAATTCAAGGTCAATTCCATTCAAGTCTTTGTTTATGCGTTCAAAGGAAAATGGAAATTAATTATGGAAAATATGCGAAAAGTTGAGAAGCTGAACTTATTTGCAGGCATGCAAAATGAACAGTAACGTATTGTTGAAGAGCTATCCAAGCTGTGCATCAAAATATATTGAAATAAAGTTAAAGCATTCCGGCAAGAATTCCTGATGAATGCTAAATGGTTGACGCTACCTGAGGAATTTATATTACTTTGGGCGAGACGCTGAAGATGATTTGAAGTGAGAGAATATGAAATAAGTTTTTTGAATGGAATTTGTATATTAATTACTAAGCACGTCAATTAATATAAAAATAGCTCCAAGTGCCAGGAAGCAAACGTTAATAAATTGTAAAATATTTAAAAACGCAAAAAAAAAAAAAAATAATAATAATAATAATAATATTGAAAAATACTTTTAAATACTTTTAAATAAATTAGAGGGAAAATCGTAAATAATTAATAGTTCAAACAGCAGATAAACAAACAGCAGCAGGGAAATGATTTCAGTTTATTATCTAATGCATTGCCAGTAAATTCTTCACATTTTTTCCATATACATATTATTCAAGCGTAAATAGATTTCATAGTTTCAGTCTTATTATCATATAAGTTCTTCAAATTGTTTCCATAAATTTTTCTAGCCTAAATAGATTTCATGGCAAATCTTGTATAACATTCCTGTAGCTCAGTTTTATCGATAACATAAAGAACTGCTGATGTAAAATTATCGGAAGTACTATAGCTCATATTTATCAGCTTTGGCGTGCTTGATATTTGGCATATAAATGGCTAAGAAAGTTATACAATGTCTTTCCAAATTGCATGCCAATTTAATTAATTCGACTTGACTAAATGTAGCATAACTAAGAAATCGCTTCAATAATTGATATTAATGACAAGGGGCAGCTCTAGTAGCAGCTCTGCCTTTGTCAGTTAGCTCCAGCAGCTAAAGCAAAGCTATTTGCTGCTCATTGAACATGCTGTGGGCTGCAGCGTTTGAAGGGTCGTTAAAGAGCTCGTGATTTGGCGTGGCGAATACAATTATTTCCAGTTCACACGATTCAAACACGCACAGCTGCCAACTGGCTGGCAGGAGGTTGCATGTGGCAAGTGGCAGGTGGCAGGAGGCAGGTGACAGGTGGCAGAGCCGTTGTCTGCGGAAATTAGAGTTGGCATTTTGTGGCAGCGCCGCAGCTGGCAAATTGCAATTGAAATGCGATTAACGAACGGTTTTAAGCATTCGCTTGCATAGTGCATAACTCAATTATTTAGCATAGTTGCAAATTTTGTAGGCGCACTCTGCACACATTCAGGGGCAATCGATTAGGCCAACAGTTTTTCGCTTTCAATTTGGCCGATTCTAACGGGCGGGCATTTCATAAGTCATTGCAGTCGTTGGTAGAACAATCGTTGGCACACGCGTCGTATACGTAATGCACAGACCATAAATAATGTAAAATGCGCAACGTTGTTTGGCATGCCCCAGCTGCTCGACATGCACCATTGCGTGCCGCTTGCATTGGACATGCGCTTTATTTATTTATTTCGAGCACAGCTACAGCTGATGCTTAGAACAGGAAGCAAGCACAAACAGCAAACACGCACACACACACACACACGCACACAGACTCTTGTGCAGTAAATGACATAATAATCATGTAAAATGAAATCTGCACTCGCTGCAGCTGCAGAAAAGTATGTGAAACATTGTTCGAGCGCTGAAGGTAACATGTAATGCTGTAATCATTTGGCCAATTACTGTGCATACTATGTAATAGCATAAATTTAATTACATGCAAAACTATTGCAGCAGAGCGTAATGAGCTGAGTAAGTGCAATTTTGCAAGTAAGAAATGGAGAAGAACTTTGGAAAAAAAAAATAAATAAAAGGAAAGCAGTAATAGTTACAGTAGTAAGTACTACAAATAGTAGTAATAGCAGTAGTATTAACTACTAAAATTAGTAATAGTATTACCAGTAGAAATAGTAGAAATATTGGTAAAAAAGTAGTAGTAGTAATATGAGTAACAGAATGAGTAAATAATAGAATAGAGAGTAATAGAATAATAATAATAGTAGTAGAATTGTTAAGTAGTGGTCGTAGTAATAATAGTAACAAAAGTAGTGGTGGTAGTGGTAGCAGTAACAATAGTAGCAGTAGTAGCAAATAGTACCAGCCGGAGCAAATAGTAGTAGTAGTAGCAAATAGTAGTAGTAGTTGAAGTAATAGTAATAGTAGCAGTAGCAAATAGTAGTATTAGTTGTATTAATAATATAGTAGTAGTAGTAGTAGAAAATAGTAGTAGTTGCACTAATACTAGTAGCAGCAGTAGCAAATAGTAGTACTTGTAGTAATAACAGTTGCAGCAGCTGACAATAGTAGTAGGTGTATTAATAATAGTGTCAGTCGGAGCAATTAGTAGTTGTAGTTGTAATAGTACATAGTAGTAGTAGCATATAGTAGCAGTAGTTGTAGTCGTAGTCTCTAGTTATAGTAGTAGATACAGTTGTAGGTTCTTATTGTACTATTACTTTAGTATTTCTCTAACGATAAAGTATTCGTTGACTATTCCAAACACTAAGATAATGGTTACATAAAGAAAGTCTTGCCTGAAGACTTCCTCTAACATCCTGCTATTATAACATTTCTATTAAGAGCAACCAAACTTATCGCACAGCGCTCATTTAAGGCTCAAAAGTATGTTTAAAGTTCGTCACGCCGAGGTTGACTTTGCGCACAAGATTTTTGCTACTCTCGCTGTACAAAAGTAAATATTTGCGTGCAAATCAAACAATTGCCAGGCACTTGCAGGGCTCAAACAGCAACGCACACTCACGCACACACCCATGCACAGAGTAAGAGCGAGAGTGAGAGAGAGAGAGAGAGAGAGAGAGAGGCAAAGGAGTTGAGTGTGAAAATTTGCAGTGACAGCTCCTCGCGTAATATATTTTCAATTTAAACTGATTTTATCGCATTTACCAGAAGCTGCTGCTATTGCAGCAACATTTTATAGCCAGCGCGCATTGCGACTGTGTGTGTGTGTGCGTGGCTTAGCTACATTGTTGCACATTGCGTATACGTAATATATGTTTGCGCTGCGTGCTGCAGCTACTTTGTTAGCCACCATCGGCCGTCAGCTAGCTGCAGTGTGGCAAGTACCAAGTACCAAGTAGCAAGTGGCAAGAGGCAAGTGGCAAGTGGCAAGTAGAGCAAGTGACTATATATATCTCTCTGGGTTAGCCAATGTTGCCCCAATTTGAGGTTACTTTTCTCATTATTTATTATACGTTTTACTTTTCTTCTACTTTTTTTTATTTTTTTATTGTAACTCAAAAGGTAAATATGCATTCATTCATCTTATGTGTAACTGTGAGTGTGTGTGTGTGTTAGGGGAATTTGCGTGTGTGTATGTGTGTGTGTGTGGTTTATACCTTTTGTGCGTGCTCGCTTTCAATGTGCGAGCATTGCTGCCCCCGAGGGGCAAGTTCATGGCTCTGTGGCAAGCCCTAAAAAAACGAAATCTTCTTTCAATTGCCAACTATGTGGCTGATATACATATATACTATCTATATATACATACATCTGTGTATATATTCGAGCCATTTGTGATTGGAATTGAAAAGTTTTGTTCGCAAAGAAATGTCCCTGGCTTTCATTTCAGTTTTGGGCCTAATGCAAAGATAATGGTTTCTGATTGTTCGCGATTAGATTAGAGTGGAGCCAAAAAGCTGCAATTAAGTACGGCCAATATGCATGCAATTCAATTAACTTTGGCCAATTCAATACACTTAGGCACCATCTATCAATGGAGTTGCGTTTTCATATTTCTGTGAGCGGCTCTAATTAATTGGGCGCATTGGAACCTGTTGCTCATTAGTATTATTAATGAATATTCATGAATAATGCAATCGATTAAGGCGGCTCGAAAGGACTTTAATTCAATTTTGGTAATTGCTTCCATAACTGAACACAATAAAAGGCCAACGGCCCAGCCATTGGGCTCACTTGAATGCCTTGGCATATGTTGCGGTCGGGCGCTATGGCCCATCGTTAATTGTTAACTGAAATTTTAATTAAATATTTTGACAATGACGCAAATACCGCAAATGCTTCTTCGCCTCCGTCAGGAAGACAAGAAACCTCGACGACAAATATTTAGCACACAGCTGCTTATTAGCAAGGCTTGACTTGTCTCTATGGTTGAGTGTGTGTGGGGTTACTTATGAAGGTGTAAATGTGTGTATGTGTGTGTGTGGGTGGGTGTTGCTTTTAATGAGCGCTCAGTAAATACTTAAAATTGGGTCTCAAATTGACGCCCTTCAAACTCATAAACAAGATGACACTGCCTGAAAAGTGGGCTTGACTTATGGAAGGCCTAAAAGCTATGAAATAAAAGGGTGTGAAATAATAATAGGATGAAAATGAGAGGCACAGAGGGAGTGGGAGAGGAGGATATTGAACGAGGCTGGGAGTAAGAGTGACAGAGAGAAAAAGGGAGAGATTACTGAAAAGCGATCTAAGAAGATACAAATGGATTTAGAGAGAGAGAGAGAGAGATTCAGAGAGGGAGTTATCGATAGAGAGAGATAGGAATATAGAAACTCTCTCAGATATAAGGACAGAAATTGGGAGGGAAACACAAAAAAAGAGTTTGTGAGATCAGGGGATGGTAGAGGGAGAGAGAGTGATAGAAGGAGAGATAAGGACAACATATATATACATAATATAAGTCCGATCGATATATGCTCACATCTGTGATTAAGTGGAGAAAAAATAGTTTTATAATACATGATTTCCAGTATTGCATAATAATTTAATTTTTTTGTTTGTTTTCCAAATCTACCAAATTTAATTTGATTAATTGAAACTTGATTTTTCATGTCATCATCCACTTCCAAATCTTATTTTGTTAGTTTAAGCCTGATTTATAGCCAGCTAGACTTGTGTGCAGTTAAGACAATGAATTATTGCCCTGATTAGATGACTTGTTTAGATATTATACAACATTGTGGCTCATTGTTTATCTTCCATAATGAGTTGCCATAAATTCGCTCCAAGCTTTTCCCGTTACACAATATCCATTGCCGATGCTCTTTGATACGCCATACTCGAAGACTAATTAATTAACAATTTGTTTGTTGCGTAAATTTTCCATAAATCTTACTTTTCTTGCAACTCAACACATGCAACATTTTCAAGTTCTCTTAATGACATTTTAAGCCCGTGTCATTGCGCAATTCACTTTGAGTTGTAGTGTAATGAATACATATATATATATATATCTATGTGTATGTAATGGCTGCTGTTAAGTATGTGTCTCTTCATTGCTTACCTCCCAGATGAGTCGAAAATCCTGCTGTTCGACGCGTAGCAGCTCGCAGGTTGTCTTCGTCACGACGGTGCTGTCCCTTGGCAGGTCGTGTAGTATTGATTCGCCGAATGTGGCGCCCACGCCAAGATTACACAAAGTGACGGAGCTCTGCAATGAATGAATGAGGGAAAAGGTGTGTAAAAAGGACGTCAGAAACGGGGTCTGTCTGTGTGTTAAAGAAATATAGCTGAGGGCTACAAGCTAAAAGCTGTTCAGGTTTAGTTGCAGCTGTAGATTAAACCATTTCAGTTAAGCACAGTTGGCTCTAACCCCGCCAGCCATGTTGACATTACGGCATGCGCTCGGTCTCTCTCTTTATCTGTATCTCTCTCTCCCTCTCTCTCTCTGTTTGCTAATTGCTCAATGTGCCACAATTTGCGTCAATGTTGCACAATCTTGTGGCAGATTGTTAACAAAACATTTGCTTAGCCCGACTGTAATCGCTTCATTGCACCCAAGTTTGAGCAATAAAATCTGTAACGGAAGCTGCCAACTTCTGTCAACCGGATATGTTGTGACAGAGCCTCTCCTCTCGGCATAGACCCAAAAAATGCAATTTCATTGAGAACTGCTGACACAACTTCCCCCCCATCCCAAGCCAACCCAATTGCCTCGCACAAAAGGCCTGAGCTGAGCGCCTTCTAACCGCAACATTGAAATGTCTTTCCATTTGCAAGTCTTCTGCATAGCTGCGCTTGCCTATGCTCAGTGATTGAGCTGTTGTTAGGGTAGGTGAGACTATAAAATTTTTCAATTTTTTTATACCCTGAACCCATTGAAAATGGGAAATCAGGGTATAATGGTTTTGTTAAAAGTATGTAACAGGCAGAAGGAGGCGTGGCAGACCCCACAAAGTATATATATTCTTGATCAGGGCGACGAGCTGAGTCGATTTGGCCCTGTCCGTCTGTCTGTCCGTCCGTCCGTCCGTCCGTCCGTCCGNTTTAATGTATGCTTATATGCAATTTATACAATTTCGGTTTTTGTTAAAATTTACCCCCCACCCTTAAATTCACCCCCTCACCCTCACTTTTGTAAAAAGCGTATTTCAAATACTAGAGACTTGGGCTTTGGAATATACACACATATTCACCATATGATTACGCTCTAAAAGTTTCATTAAGATCGTATGTCTACAAAAGAAATTATTTAACAAATAAATTCTCATAATATTGCCCACACTGCAGCGCAGCCCAAGCGCAGTCGCTGCTTACTGCGCAGTTAGCAGAGCGCAGGCTTATGCGTGCATGTGGATGCATGTGTATGTATGTGTGCATAAAAGAAGTGCAGAATGATTAGGTATCAGCTTGGAGGGTTCAGGGTATCTCCTAGTCGAGCAGTCTCGACTGGAGCTTTCTTACTTGTTTAATTTATTATTTTCTATTCAAGAATATTTTTATTGCTATAAGGTTGATTCAATTTTGAAAATTAAACAATATATTCACGTAAGCAAATTTTTAAGTTTATTAAGGTTATTTTGTTTTTTGTTTTTAATTCTTTTCATTGTTAAATATTTTGTTTGAGAGTCTAAAAATAAAATGTTTGCGCTAGATAAATTAGGCAAATTCGTTTAAGTCGAAGCAGAATTTGTTTATACCCATTCTAAAATAAGTTGTTTTATATGTTCTAGCATTGATTAAACAAAGTAAAAAAAGTGAACTTTATCGTAGTATATAAAATACAATATGTAGTACGGTATTTAGAAAGGCGTTTTTATGGGCTCTTAACATGATAAGTTGCGTATTCCCATATCAGCCTTTTCTTTTCGAGAGACACTTTTATTTATTTTAATCTATTAACTAATCTTAAAAGAGATTAGATTAGACTAAGCTAGACTATATTATCTACAGAGTATCCTCTAGTGACAGAGAAAATTGAAACAAAATTGAGGAGACAGGTGAGGCAAGCAGAAGAAGTCATATACAAGAAGACATCAACAGGTCAGTTTACGAAATTTATGAATATGTATTTTCCTAGGGTATCACATGGTCAAGCACTGCTCAGTAGTGAATTTTCTCTAAATTGTTGCTAAGTTCGCATCTGTGGTTTGTGCTGTTTGCGCTCGCTGTTTGTTTTTTTTGCGTTTTCCCAGAAGACAACTTCTTGGCGCTGCCCGAGGGCCCAGCCTCATTTCAGTGGGCTTAAGTTAGGCCCTGAGACGAAAGTTGGGAGTTGGAGTGGCCTGGAATGGAGCTCTCTGAGCGCTGGGTGCTGTGTACGGCGCGCTTGGTCTGAGGCAGCGCATATAATTGGCTTAACAAGACTTACACACGACCGCAAAATTGTTAAACTCGCATTAGTCAAAGAGGCGTGTGTGTGTGTGTGTGTGTTTGTGTTTGTGTTGTGCTTGAGTTTTCTTTACAGTTATAGCACATGCAGTGGGCTATATGTTTTTATTTTATTTTTGGGGTAGAGGCAGCTACATACAATGCCACAACAGCATCAAAGACTCAAGATCCGCTATAAAACATAATTTAATTATTTCTCGGCTGTGTAATTACAATTGTTGTTATTGTTATTGTTGTCGCTTGGTCAAAATGCTGACTGCTGAATACTTTCGGCGTCCCATTTTGAAAATTTCAATTTACTTTGACTTGATTTATGGCGACTTTTGTTTTTGACAACTCAAAAAAGTATTTTCCGCTTTTGTGCGCTTTGTCGGCGCTATAAACGCTATAAATTATTTGATTGCTTTCTAATTGTTGTTTTGGGGCAAGCAAAGATGTGTTTTAGATAAGCGCGAGAACCATGGATCGTTCATATAATCGACCCACACACACACACACACACACAACATATAGAAATCCGAATCGCAGCATAAACATAATAAAGTTTGTCCATTTTACTGAGAAATCAATTTAATTGCGAATTTTAATCGTTCAAAGAACTCAAAGCGACCGGGCTATATTAATATTTGTTTATCGCAGCGCAAAGAAAGTGGAATTCATTTAATGAACGCGAAATAGTATGTTGAATGTATCGATGGGCCTTATAATAATTATTTTTATGGTTTGCAATTATAAAGCGCTTTTAAGCTCTTTGCTAAGGGTAAATGTTTCTATTGATTTTTTATACATTTGTATTTGTATTTTAAATATTTACATATGTTGAATGTTTGATATTTTGGTATTTATAACAAAAATGTTAATAAATTGTATATTTAATTTACTTTTATTTACAGAAAAATCGAAAATAAATAAAATCGGAATCTGTATAAGTGAAAATGTTGCAGCTAACATATGAATTTACAGATGGCAAAATTTTGGTAAGTAAATAAATCATTTATTATTATTTTATCACAATTTTAATAAATAATAATACTACCCTCGTTTGACTAAAACTCATTAAAATCTAGCCTAACTACTTAGTTAATCTAATTCTCTCTGGCTTTCATTTCTATATCGAATGCTGCCAATTTCCACTTGTGTCTCTTTCAACACAATTTTCCGGCGGAAAAGTCTGGCAGCATTTGATTTCGGTTGCATGGCACAAATCCGATTGAGCCAAACTGCTTCAATTTCCATTCATATTTCCATTTATTGCTTTGTTATGTTTCAGCTACAGTGCAGACCATTGTTTGGTATTTAATTGGAAATGGTTAAAGGGAGCTCAGCATAAGCTTTTGTGGGCTTTAGATAGAATTTCGATTTTAGTTTATTAAATATATTTATAATATGAAATAGTTGCATAAAGAATCAGCTTATACTCTATCCGTGCAATTTTTTCTTTTTTTTACTACAGTTGTACTATGTCTAGCTACTATAAATCAATTTCATTGACAACATTACATTATGGTATATACTATATAATAATATCTATAATGTATAGCTGTTATTTAGAAAATATCTATTCAAAAAATACTTAAAAAAAAACGACAGCTTCTCCTTGACATGCCTCTATCATTTTGTAGCGGAAACAAAAGATTTATTACATTTGATTATCTGTTTCTATTTTCCACACACACAAACACAGAGAAAAGGCGCTGACAAGCGAAATCCTTTTGTGCATAGATAAATACTTTAGCCTCGCCATGACATACGCAAAGCTCGAACTATATCGAAATGATGATGTCACCATCGACTCCACAGAGCAGAGCAGACACACTGAGCCACAGCACCACTGAACCACTGAGCACATTACGCCAAAGCTATCAAAGAAAGACTTATTTCTGTATCTCAGAAGAAAAGGAAGATACACACATTGCATTATATCTAGTATAAATATTTAACTAAAGTGTGGGCACGTACTTTTTACATATTTCTTTCTTTCTTCACTTCTGCCTCTCTTTCTCTTTCTCTTTGATTCACATAAATGCAATGCAATGTTTTACCTTTGCATAATGTCGCGTTGATTGCTCCACATTATACGTACAACTGTGACGAATTAACATTTTCTTTTTATTTATTTATA